GCCAGCAAGGTGTTGGGGATGGAGCCCTGAAGAAGACATAGTCCCTGTCCCCAAGGATATCCATGCCCAGTAGCAAGAGCCTTCCAGTAATCACTGGCTTCTCAGTACTTACGGGATCACATTGTCTAGAGTCTTCAGTACCATATGTACCTATTGATACAATATTTTATATCCTTATCTGGCCTCCTGGGCTAGTGACTAAGTACTTAGCTTTCATCATGAAACCCACCCTCTCCACTCGGTTTCGTGATGCTACCGCTGGGTTCCTGCAAACCGTATTTCTGCTCTGCCCGCGGGCCCCATCTCAGGTCAGGCGGAAGGGAGGGAGCGGGCGCTGGGAGGCCAAGGGAGGAGGAGGACCCTGGCTTCTCCCGGCCTGTTTCCTGGCCCCGGGAGTGTCGCCCCGGCAACACTTCTTCACTCCAGCAGTGGCCGTTTCCTCCCAGAACCGTAGCTGAATCCGGTGTGCAGCTTTCCCAACACTTAGAACCAATTCATGACATCAGCCTGCAAGATGCAATAGCAAAGCCTCTCAGAGTCGGGCTGCAGACTCCTGTGAACGCCGTCGAGACGCCAGCGCCAGCAAGCGGCACCCACTCTTCAGAGGCCCCGGTTTCAGTTCCACAGGGCCTGTCCTCTCAGTGTCTACATTTTGGTCATTGCAACCTCTTCTCGTGTCCCCAGCCCTGGGATAGTAGCTTCTTTCTGCGGTTGCTGCCTCCACAAAACCTAAGACTTCCCTTTTCCCCCTTTCGGCTACCTAGCGGACAGCGTGGATTCGGGGGTCTGGTTTCTGTCTCCTGATAAGATCCTGTTGACGTCAGAACATCCAAACCCATAGAGAATTTTTGCAAATGTTTATTTATGCCGAACAGAGGATACACCTGGAAGCAAGACCTCAACAGATAGAGAAAAACGCTTCTCAGAAGGACAGTCTGTAGCTCTTTTATGCACTTGGAATTGAGGAGAGAATTTAAGGAAGGTTACATGAGTGTGGGAGAAAGCGAGGCAGGGGTTGGATCGTAGGGTAGTCAACTAGATTATGTGTTCTTCTGAGGGTGGTTTCGCTGAGGGACCGGAAAGACACATTTCAAAGGTTAATCTGAAAAGAGACAGAAGGGTCTCCTTTCTTCTGAAGGGTCTGAAAAGAGACATTTCAAAGGTGTGTTAATGTAAAGGCACAGAAACAATGGACAGAGATTGTTTAGGAACAAAGATAAACCTTTTACTAAAGAAGTTACATACCTACGCCTGGGACGTGACCACCCACCATGACCTGCCCAGTGAAGAATTGATGGTCAGATGGCCCTGTGAGATTACCTTCCGCAGAACCCCTTTTTTGGTCCATACCCTGACTGAGACGCCTTCCTGGAGAAGCGGACGGGCCCTGCAGTGGAGTGGGAAGTGGCCTGAGCTTGAAGTCACTGGAACTGCATTTGAATTCTGGCTCTTGAAATCTGCTAGCTCTTTGACCTGGAAATCAGAGCTCCCTCATTTCCTCCTGCCTTGGTTTGCTGGTATTAAGATGGAGTTTCCAGCTGTTGTGCATGCGGCTGAAGTGCTTGGCATGAATGTCCTGTTCGGTGATTAGTAGCCATTATGATTAGCAGACTGCTAGCTCCTAGGGCCAAGGTCCAGGTCTCATATGGCTTATTATTCCCAGCAGGGTGTATTATAAATCTATTTATATGATATATGCTTCATAAGGATGTGTTGAGTGAAAAAAAAAGTGCTTAAGGTACTTGTGGCTCGGTAGAGTAATTAACTTCCACCAATGGAACAGAAAACCCTCAGCGGTAGTTGGGTTTTTTCTGGGGTTGTGGTTGACACCGTCTTCTCAAGTAATTTTAAAGTGAGGAGCAATGACTTCACCTGGATAATCAGAAAAGAAAATCTGTGTCACTCATTCTTCTGGCAGCCTGGCGAAACTTCGAGACTGGGTGAGATATGAGAACGTGCCGTATCTTCCAGGAAAAAAACCCATTTGGTAGGTTGAGTGACACATTCGTGGTTCTTTCTGGGCATATAGCAGACACTAGTTTTCTTTCATGTCCCACTTGATAAGGAGAAAAGCTTTAGACTGTTCTTACACAATTGGGGACACCGGTCCTGGGTGTCGAATTCGAGACTCTAATGTAAACCCTGGAAGTGAACAAGGTCCCACGTGTCTCGGGCCTTCACAAGTCTGTGCGGATCAAAGTCGCTCCAACACAGAGGGGAGAACAAAGCATCTATTCTTTTCTGCACCACGGGTAGATAGCCACCCGATCCGGGGAACGGCTGTGTACACTGGAGGAGGAGGAAGTCAGTGCGATTTCTCGTTTCACGGGCAGGGTCACGTGGGGCTGGGCCTGATAAAGGTATTTGTGTCAAAGTCTGGAAGGTGTACAGTCCCAGCCAAGACTTTCCCAGTCCAAGAGGCGTGAACGAGGATGTGGAAGAACTCCATTCATTCCAGAACACTTCCTCCTCACAAAAGCCTAAAACTTCCTCAAAGAGAAAATCAACTGCCCCAGAACCGAACTTATTCGGGTCTCAAACAGACCATGAATCTTACAGCCCAGCAGGGCCAGGTTTGAGAGAACCAGAGCTCCCTTTCATCTGGAGATGTTTTCCAGCCTCCAAGTGGTTGTTATTTCTTTGTGGAAGGGTAGTGAGTGACTCCTAGGCATGAAAAAAAGGCTGGTAGTTTGCAGAAGGAGCCAGAGAACTAATCATTCTGTTTTCAGAAGACATTCTCATCTCCATATCTACCTGTTTAGGGGCCTTGGGGCCATATCCTCTGGGCAGCCTTTTTTGAATATGCTCCCTCCTGCACCAGCGGAAGGGCTCCTATTGGGCACTGCCATGAGCAGGCAATCCCACTCTGAACTGCATGTGAGCCCTCTCTGCTCTCCTGTACACATACGCACACTGCGTGAAAGAGAGAAAAAAGAGACTTTCAAGAAAAAAGAGATGGGGAGAGTGAGGGAGGGGAGGGAGGGAGGGAAGGAGGAAGGGAAGGAGGAAAAGGAGGAGGATGGAATGGGGAGGGGAAGGAGAGAGGAGAATAGAGAGGGAGGGAGAAAGGAAAGAAGGGGAAGAGAGATAAAGAGAGAAGGGAAGGGAAGAGGAGAGCAAGAGAAAGAGGGGAGAAGGGAGGGAGAGAGAAAGGTAGAGATCATGGTCGTGATAGAGATAGAGATAAAGATGATGGAGATAAATATAGAGACAGAGGTGAGAAAGAGAGAGAAAATCATTCCAACACCAGTCAGGCTCAGGCTCGGTGAGAGCCAACCTCATTGCCACTACACAGACCAGATCTTTTCTTCTGGTTAGCCAGCCATTCCTCCCGTCGGAGGTGGCACACCAGTGTGCAGAGAGCACTGGGGAAAAGAGAAGTCTCTGTAACCCATAGGAAAAAGGCTTTGACTTTGTCTTGAACATTCATTAGGCTGGGGTGCATGGGTTACCTTTGCTATGCTAATTAGGTGCGAGCTAGAGGTGTCCCCTAGGCCTGGCCAGAACGCAGGGCGGAGGGTGGTTCACTAGGATCCCAGGCTTGTCTGGTGGGTGGAGGTAGTGAGTAATGGCCAGGGGCGAGGTGGCAGTGAGGGGAGTCCCAGGTACAAGCCTAGATCAAAGCCAAGTATATCGTCAAGCTAGAAGGAACATCTAGCTGATGAATATGTCTTAGGCAAGTTCAAGGACAGTGGGTTGAAGGCCAGGCAAGGCTCCGAGTCCTGTGTGCCCTTCAAGTTGAACCTGGACATCCTCTGTGCTGTCCCAGCCCAGCCAGTTTTGGACTGGGTGTTTGTTATCTTGGGACACTAGAACTGGGCTTCTGAGCCCAGCCATTTTGTTACCTTGTGGTTTCTTTTTCTCCTTGGTTTCCTAGTTATATGCTTATTTTAAAAACGTTAACTCTTTCTCAGCTGAATTAAGGTAGCCTACATCTTAGCTGGGGAAAGAAAGCGAGAAAGAGAAAAAAGCCTTTGTAGCCCAGGTGTGGTGGATGTACAGGCCAATGTCTCCATTCTCTGTCAGGGTCTCATGGGGTTAGGACTCAGCCGAGCATCTCTCGGTCTCAACTTCTTTGTCAATAGCCATGTGACCTTTGACAAGTTAACCTCTCTGAGCCTCAATTTCCTCATCTACAGAATGAGCCTCAATTTCCATATCTGTAAAACTAATTGTAGCCAACTCATAGTATTGCATAATAAAGATCAAATAAATTAATAGTATCTGGCAGACACCGCTGTATGTCTACCTAAACATCTGCTCCCTCTTTTTTTCCTAGCGGTGGATTCGTAGCTGGACACACAGCAGCTGAGTCGCCCTGCAGCTGGTTGCTCCCTTTGACTAAATTCTGGCCAATGACTTACACATGGAGAAGCAGAAGTCACCTTCAAGGAAAGGCCCTTGCATTGACAAAGAAATGCCTTTAGAATGCGGATGTGATGGCCAGAGCTCAAGCAGCCCTCTTGGTCCAGGAGACGGCACACTGAGGGCGGTGAGAGAGCAGGAAGAAAGAGGCCCAGCTCCAGGCGAAGCTGAAGAGAGCCACAACCCTGCCCTTAAACAGCCTATGTCTCAATTCATCACACCAGGGGGATGAACTAACTTTTTAAAAATTCCATTTTGAGGGGGATTTTGGTTACTCACTGAACTTAAATCTAAATAGGTCCTTACAGCATGTAGTGTGTTTAGCAGAGTGTAGGTAAAATAATATATATATATATATATATATATATATATATATATATATATATATATAAATTTTTTTTTTTAGGAAATACATATCAAAGATCTAAAAAACAAAAGCATAAAGTTAAAGGACCATGAGGGCCAAAAAGGGGAGCACTGTGCCCCCACCACACCTCCTGGCCTTGGTGCACCCCCAGGGCTCTGTGAGAGGGACCAGACACCTAGCCTTCGCCAAGCAGAGGCTATGGACCACCCAGCAGGAGGGAGCCCCCGGCCTCCTGGCCTCCTTCTTTCCCCTACGAAGCCTCTCCTGCCACAAGCAACGGGATCTGGAGAAGTGGGAAAAGGACGAAAAGGGCGCCCATGGAACGCGCAGACCGTGGAGGTGAGCGGACCTGGCTTTGCCTCCTGGCCTCTCCATCTACCAGCCATGTGACATTGGGCCCCGGTGTTCAAATGAACACGGGATAACACCCTGCCCACTTGTTGTGGGACTTAAACAATAAAATGTCGAAATCCAAACATAGTGCCTGGCACATGATTGTGATTGGGCCAGTGTTTAGAAAGTAACCTGAACTTTGTTTTTTACCATTCCCAACCCTCGCCCCAGGCTTCCTCCAAACCCATTACCTGACGGTCCCGGCAGGGACAGTCTTTCCTCCCCAGTGTCACCTGCCTGTGTGTCATCGGGTCTCTACCTAGAGCTCCACTGCTTCTCTGTCTCTCCTTACCTTCTGCCAAATTTCAGGGCAGCTGAAGGCCCTTCTTGAGTTCCAGCTCCAGTGATCTCTCTCCCTGTGCTCTGAACGGGGCCAGCATTTGATGCCCAGCCACTCGCGTTAACAGTTCCTGCCTTGTCTTGGCATTTAATTTTGCAGTGCGTGTCTCATCTTGCCAGCCGTCCCGAGTGCTCTGCAAGGGTGTGGATCATGCCTTTTCCACCTTTCTATCCCTCCAGCCTTTACCTTAATGCTGTGTTCAGGCCTCAGTGAAGAACTGCTGAACAAGGAAACCAAATCCAATTACCCAGCACACTGGAACTAATTTATTTTTTGAACCTATGTGCCTATTGCTTTTCTATGTTCCTCAGAGTTCAAAGCACTTTGAGGATACGGTGCCTTCTGTAATATCATCAGGGCTCGGTTAGCTTTGCACATCATCAAACTTAGCTCCAGCTGCATGGGTTGCTTTGCTGACTTTGGGCAGTCATTGGGCATAAAGGGAAAAGGTGAGACAGAGCTTCGTTTAAGACAAATCCATTATTCCACCCCAAAAAGAAAAACCATCAAAAAAATTTATGGGTAGTGAGTTGACACTACTATTTGGAATTTTGGAGCACATTCAATTGATCTTTTGAAAGTGGAATGTTGTAATGTAACCCAACTCTATGATTTTGAATATGAAAATGCATTTAATTTGTCTTTTTAAACAGATACGTTGCATTTGTTTTGTGTGCATGTGCTCAATTTGCATGGTGCTCCCAGTGCCTCAAGGAGACCGGCAGAACAGCAGTCACTGCCCTGGGGCCTCTGGAGGGGCCGGTCTCCCCCAGGAACAGGTGGATGCAGGGCCTTCCTCTGAGCAAGCTGGAAAGGCCCCAGGACTGCGCAGCCGTTCTGGCTGCACAGTGGGTCAGAAATGCTGCAAAAGGAAATTCTAGTGCCATCGCTTTCACTTTTAGTAGGTAATTTATGACTCATTCGGGGATGCTTATTGAAAATACAAATTCCCTGGTTTCTAACCCCACCTCCCAGGCCATAAACCTACCGAATCCCCCTGGGAGATTCAGGACCCTGGAACCAGCACTTTTACCAAAACGCCAAGTGATTCGATGCAGGAGATGGTACATGGACGACGCTGAGAAACAGGACTTGAAGGGAAAGGTACGTGTCCTCTCACTGGAGCCATGATCCCTTCCCTTTTATAATCTTCCTACTTTAGATGTGACAATAATAAGGTAATAGGGCGCTAGCAATCCCAGTTAAAATGAGACAGAGACATAATTTGAGTACGGTTTTGGAGTAGAGGGCCTTTGAGCCTGGAAAAGAAGGTGGGCGGCTCTGCTAAGAGAGCTTGCACTAGAGGGCAAGTAAAAATGCCTTTTTAGGGGGCGGGGGGAAGGGCAGATCCCAGAAATGCTCCTGAATTGTGGAAGAGAGAAGTACATTGACCACCAGCTGTTCTGGAAGGGTGACTCATCAGCCGATGTGGCAGTGACCTCGGCTGGGCTGGCGGAATGACTCCCTCGGCTGCGGGGGGCGCTGGGGGAGCTGACGGCTGTGGCTGGGAGAGCAGTGCATTCCAGAGAGGAGCCAGACCTCCTGCGAGGATGCCAATCTGTGCTGTCAGTCACCTTGGCGGCGATGGGGCGGGAGAGGGAGGGGCAAACGAACTGTCTCAGCAAGACCACAGAGGCACCATTTAGTCATAGTTTAGAAGTATTAAAAGCCCTGTGTTCAGTATTCCTGGACTCACCCTGGCCTCCTCCTCTTCCTCCCCTCTAAATCCAATGACTAATTCTGGTCAATTCTATGCTCTAACGTCTTCCAGGGATCCCCTTTACCGTGACTTCTGCTTTACCACTATCAAGTATCACGCATTTCCCCCTTTTTATGTATTCCAACTGCCGGGACACGAACTCACATTTCCACCGTCTCTCACTGGGACTCCATGGGCTCCTCACCCCTTGTCCTGCCTCCTCTCTCCCTGCCCCCAATCCATCCGGCACACAACCCCCAATGTGTTCCCTCCAGAACTGATCATCTAAGCCTATCATTTCCTTACTGAAAATCCCCAGCTTACCCTGGCTCAGTGGTTCTTCAACATCAGTGAGCACCACAGCCCCCTGGAGTGCTTGTTCACGCACAGTGCTGGGCCCCAGCTGGAATTTTTTTGCCCTTCCACATTCCCCTGCTTTATCTGCTCAATGCCGGAGCCTACAGGTCTCAGGGAGGCCTCCTTCCTCTCCTCTCCCTCGTCTTCACGCCACCTCCACCTCTGCTGTCATTGGTATCATCACTCACACACTGTGAGGGCTTATCACGTCTCATCCTGACGAACCCTCACTCGAAAAACCATACTCACAGTGTTGGTACCGTTGATCTTTCCAGACAATGGAGATGCTAAACTGGGGGCTCAGAGAGGCTTGGAAATGTGCCCTAGTCATACAGCTAGTAAATGGTGGAGCCCGGACGCAGTCCTGGCAGCCTGGCCTAGTCCCTGGGCACTGAACCCTCGCAAGTCCTGTTCATCCAGATGGAATCCCTTCCTCGATGCTCTGCAGCTCCCTTCCCGCCACTTCGCAGGCCGACACACATACAGTATAGCCTGTGAGGTCTCACTTACCTAATGAGTGACTCAATTACATGCTGGGAGTTAGCCGAGGATGGGTCTTCGAAGATCTTTGTTTCCTATGCCTGGCACATAGAGAGCAATGGAATCAATAAATAAACACTCGCTCATGGACCTAGTGTTTGCATATGGAAAGTCGTTTTTATGATGGAGTTTGGGGCCATGAGAAATTACAGCCCAGAAGATTACTTAAGCTCCTTGTATTATACCACCTCAACATAGAGGTGTCATATAATGTAGATAGATACACAGATACCCGTGTGACGATTAGTATAAATGACACACAGGTACCACTTCATGTTAGAGGAAGCCCTGAGAAGACTGGAGACCAATATAACATAATTGCCACCTACTCGTCTATAGAGGGTCACCACTGTATCAGCTTCCATCTTGGTTACTCTCATTATATGTCTTTTTAACTTACTCAAAGAGAAGGGAGTTTTTGACCCCAGAAGAGCATGAAGGAGATGTCTAGAGAGCACTTTTATAGGAAATTTTAACGTCTTTCCTACTGGTCTAGAAAAATACCCTAGGAAGTCAATATTTTACAATAAATAAATAAATAAATAAAGGAGCAGGTGCCTTAGAGTACAAAGTTCATGTGTATTAGGAACATTTTCTGTAAATATTCACTATTAAAGAGAGAACATCATTTTCTACATGTAAATCTAAAGTGTAGGCAAATGGCAACTTTGCTGCTTCTCTGTTTCACTGAGAGTCAGCCCTCAGTGTATCTCCCCTGCTGCAGCTCCCAAAGCACCCCCTGCCCCTTTAAGAAATGATGGCTTCGGTCCAGAAAGGAAAAATGAGAGACTGTTATATTCCAGAGTGAAAGCGACCTGCCAGCACTCGGAGTTATTCCCAAACCCGTGCATGCCTCCGGAGCCTCTCCCTAGCCCTACTCTGGGGTTAGGGTCATGCAGTACCAAAGGTATATTTGTTTCTTTTCCATTTGACTTCAAGGCCCTCATCAAAACTCAGTATAAATTAACAGGTTCTGTTAAAGTGAGTGCCTTTAAAAGGCACCTGAGAGACAAGCCAGCCACCTGCATTATTCAGGAAGACAGATACAGTAAAAAAAAAAAAAAAAAAAGGTTTCTCCTCTCCTGCAGTGTACATTTAATTCTCTTGCTACCAACTGTGCACATGCCTTTCCTCTCGGGCACATTTTGGGCAGAGGTAGTACCGTCCTTGGACCCAGAATGGCCCATTTTCTGAGCCTCTGAGTCTTCTTCTCCCGCACAGACACAAAGCGTCAAGGGCCCCTCTGACCTACAGAGGCCAGAGCCTGGTGTCCTCCCTCCCAGGCAATAAGGAGTCTTTCACCTCCTTAAACCCAGTGGGCATCAGTGACCTCTTTTGACAACTCCCAGAGGCTGGTTTCCCCCCACCCAACAAGTCAGTAAGCACAAAGCTTTGCAGAGAATCCTGGAGTTCTAACCACTCTGGCAGCAAATAAAACCACTCTTCCAACCCAGGACTGTTAAGGACACATGGTCTCAGACATTTCCTGCCTAAGCCTGAGCAGCTTTCCTCCTCTTGCACACATGCTCCCCCTACTGGCTGGCATTGACAACGCTGGGGCGTGCTGGGGAACGAGAACCTCCCGCCTGGCCCTGGGATAGCCATGTTGAACCACTGCAGAGAAATTGCCAAATACTGAAACAGAAAGAAGATCCTTAAGAATTCTTCCATTGCTCCGATGAAGGGCCCACGCTAAGTCTTTTTTCTTACATTTCAGGAATAAACTCTGTAATAAAGACTGAATAAATAAATCAACCCTGAATAGAGTTTTGCCAAATAAATTAAATTTCGACTTCCACCCAAGAGTTCAATAAATGAAAAGAACTTTAGGCTTGGATTCAGAGTCAGAGACTCAGACTCAGGTTTAGCTCCTTTATTTGATGAGTTACCTTCAACACAGAACCTGTTGAACCTCAGTTTCTTTATCTGTAATTTGGGCATAATAATATTGTTTAACTCCCAGGGTTGTGGAAAGTACAACAAATGAAAGAATGTGAATGTATAAGAAAAGTGCTTTATACCTTAAAACTTTATTGTGAGTTATTTTATTCCGTTTGAATCCAACACACACCCTTTTCCATTCATCTGAGTGGACAGGACAGTTGGAGGCAACCTGAGCCCCAAAAAAGGAAGTACAGCAAGGAAAGCTCAGTCACAAACAGGAAGTAGCAGAAATGCCACCAGAAAAAAGTTGGCTCTGGCAAAAGGAAAAAAAACACATGAAACAGTCCCAGGTTAACTTTTTAAAGATCTAGTTAGGTTTAGTTAATGATTTGAGGTGTTGCCAGCGTAGTTCGACCTCCTAAATTAGGGGATCTTCAGGGATGGTTAGGTATCTCTTTTGACCTAGATTTGACCTCCTTGCCAATGGGAATTCTCACTGGGCATTTTTAGGATCTCTGCAGTTGCTAGGCTCCTGCCTTTTTAAATGTAGGTCTCTCCTCCTTTTCCCCTGTGGCGGAGGGAGGGGCAGAGTGAGGCCGGGAGGAGCTGGGGCCCCGCCTCGCCTGCGCCTTGGGGAGCCGCCCGCAGCTCCTCTCAGATTACTGCCTCCCTTCCTGGCTTCCCAGACTTGCCACATTGTAGGCTGGCTTCTTGAGGGAATGTAAGGGAAGCCCTCCAGTGACAGCCACGCAAAGAAGTTTGCAGTCCTGGGGATTATGTCAAACTTCCCTTCTCGATTTCTGTGTAGAAGGGACGATCCCCTAGATCTGTTTCTCTGGGGAAATGAAATAACGGGAAGTACGTTCACAGGTCAGGACGCATTGTGCTGCTTGTTTTCCTGTTTCTCCCTCTTAAAACCTCTTTCAAAAATCTTACCACTGTTCTTGCCCCTTCCTTGATTCTGTGTGTTATTAAGGCAGGAAAAGGAGAGGATTAGAAGCACAAGAATTCAAAGTCATCACCAAGCATTCTGAAAACTCGTCACCTGTTTGCAGACAGAGGTCCTGTTCTAGCCCAGTTGGAAGAGACAAGTTTCTGCCTCCATTGCCTACACCTTTTTTAAATGTTTTCATTACACAACCACTCTACACTTTGGCAAAATGCTTGGTACAAATAAGAATCAGAAAATAAGAAGACCCACGTCCATACTCTGAGCGACTGCAGTCTACAGACAGTGCCAGGGAGACAAGTACAAATATGGTATTCGATTTGTGCTACGTCTCATTTCAGGTTTTGTATGTTTTGTAATGGCCTCCAGTTGTACATGCTCAATTGGAAACTGTCCTGTCAGGATGGTAATAGTGTTTTCAGATTGTGGCATCACATTTGAGCCTTGTAACAACCCTAGGAGCAGAGTGAGCTGATGAAATTAAGCTGCCATCACAGGTGAACAGGTGAGGAACAAAAAGGTAAAACAGGTAGTCCAAGGCTACTCAGCTGATTCCTTATGGAGCCCAAACTACGAGGTCAGGGTCGTCCAAATCCTACTCTGCTGAGGATTCCTACAGAATGGCTGGGATTATTACCAACAGGCCCTATGAGCTCTCAGTTATGCCAAAAAAAGTGTCACCATTTTTAAACAGAGGGTAACAAACATATTAAGTGAGATAGCTTTTTACAAATTGCATAGGGTGTATGAGTATTCACAAACAAAAATGGGACTCTGAGGCCTTTTTGGATATTACATTTTTTAATTAAAAATATTAAATTAAAATGATTTATGTGATTGAAAATCACAATTCTAAAGCATAGTACACCTGAGAAGCCTTGCAGCCTCCTCCCTCCTCTTTATCCCATTTCTCCATTGCCTTCTCTTCTTTTGGTAATCATTTTTATTTTTTTATCCTACTTATAATCCTTTATGAAAACACAAATAAATATAAATGGGTATTCTTATTATTTGTAGTTTTACAAAAAAGAGAGGATCTATGTGGTCTGTCCAGAAAAAAATCCAGCCACTGTCCAGAAAAAAAACCATATAACGAGAATGGTTTGCGCAACCTCGATGTAACCTGGCAGCCAAGGAGAGTGGACTGGTGTGAACAGTGATGACTTCACTGTACTAGTCAGTGAGGGCGGTAGGCACTGTTGAGTGAACATGTCTGCTGTTTGGCCTTTGCATTCAAAATAACTGAGCAAGTAGAGCAACAAATCTGCATCAAATGTTTCCATGAACATTCCTCCATGGAAAATATTCGGACGATTCAGAAGGCTTTTGGGGACAATGCAGTGAGTGCAGGGCAAATAAAAGTGTGGCACAAATACTTCAAAGATGGTTGGGGATCACTCTGCCTGGTTTTGGGAATTGTAACTACACCCCATGGCTAAGGATGAGTGAGTGACCTCCGGAATGCGAGCAGCGGGACACAAAACTTGTCTCTGGCAGAAAACAATTCTTCAGTTTCCTCCCCTTGACCCCAAAGCTTGGTCGGAAGTCAATGATGGGTAAGACAGAGAGAGGGGCAACCTAAGCCAGCCTCGATCACTTGGGAGGCTATCATGGAAGGACTCAGGGGGCTGCAACAAAGAGGGAAAAATAGACCCTTGCCCCCAGCTATGTGACATAGCCCGAGTCCCCATGTCCTCTGGGAGAAGCTAATCCACTTAAGCCTGAAAACGTGATGGGGAGGGGTGCAGCTCCTTGCCTTGCTAGAGCAGCATTATCTGGGGAAAAGCTGGCATAAGAAAGAATTCCTAAAAAATCCTGTGGAACTTGCTTTGCTAAGAGTGCTTTCATTCATATGTTAAGAGTCCAAGCAGGAAATGAGTATGTCTCCCAAAGTTTCTGCAAACCCCCTTTCCTGATAGACACTGACTCAGTAATCCCTCAGATTTCTTTGAAATGTTATCTACTGTTTGATCCTTGCCACCCTGTATTCCTGAGTATTACAACCCAATAGAAGCCTCTGGAGGAAGGGGCTCAAGGCCTTTTTCCTCTGAGAAACTGGCCACCTCTCTTCCCCAAGCAGATCATGCCTTGGTAGTGATTACTTTCATCCGTAGCGGACGGGGGGCTTGAGGACAGTCGCCCCCACAAAAGATGGTCAAGAATCTGTTGAAAGTGATTCATGTTCTGGAAGGCCTGCAACAAGCAGAACACCTGGGAATGTTGAACATGTATGGGTCACAATCAATGAAGATTTGTGACCAACAGTGGGACAACTAGAAGCTGATCTGGGGATTCCAAAAACTACTGAGTCTAAGATTTTGTCACAGGATCTTGGTATGAATCATGTCATGGCAAAATTTGTTCTGAGGCTTCCACTACCAGAGCAGAAGGAACATCGTGCTGCAGTTGCTAATGACTTGATTCAAACTGCTACCAATGAACAAGATTTGGCACCCAGCAACTTCTGGTTTTTCCCAAAACTAAAATCACCTTTGAAAGAGAAGAGATTTCAAACTGTGGATGAGATTCAGGAAAATCCAGGGCAGCTGACGGCGATCCTGACAAAATATATCACAGAATGTTTTGAACAGTGGAAGGAAGAGATGCTGGCAGAACCGTGTGAGGTCCCAGGGTGCCTACTTTGCAGATGACTGAGGCATCATCGTCCTGTGTACAATGATTCTTGTATCTTGTATCTTCTTCAATAATTGTTTTTCTTTTTCATAGTACGTGTCTGGATACTTTCTGGACAGTCCTCTTCTAGTGCATTTTGAATTGGTTTTCTGGATGTAGTAGTAGACTTTGCTAAACCACCTGCTCTTACCTGAGAACGCCAGGGACCATAGGCATTGGTCTGCAAACAGTGCAAGTGAGATGAGAATCCAAAAGAGCTAAAGCCATAGAGGCTTCAGTTAGATGATTTTGCTTCCTAAACTTGGGTCCCCCACTAAACCAGAGGCAGCTGTGGCCATTGCAAGTCGAGCCTGAGATTCTATGCCAATCACTGGTGGGGCAGCTAGTCGTTTTACAGTGAGAAACCCATCCACATGCCTGAGTAAAACCTCCATGACAAGGTGGGGCAAATGTGTAAGAAGTGATTGTCTTAGTTTTGCTGAGAGAATGGCTAGCGACGTTCCAGGGAAGTGACATAGTACCTTACAGACGGAGGGGTCATCTTCAGTGCAATTGCCGAGTAGGATTCTCCTACCGAAGGAGCTTTCCTGTGCTTTCCCTTGTCACCGTGCACTGAAAGAACACAGAAGATCAAAAGAGATCAAGCCCAGGCCACTCCAAGCAAAAGAAGACCAAGGGCTATCTGTGAGCAGAAACACCAGATCAAGTGACAAGAAATGGAAGGTCTAGATAAGAAATGTAGGTGAGATCACCTGGACCACAGCTTCCCTAGACTTGGGAAAGGACACAGGTTAGCTCAACAAATGCAGTGTCTCCCTGGCCCCCCGGGGCTGGGTTTACAGTGGTGCTTCACAAGGAGAGACTTCAGATGAGCTGGGACCCTTCAGATTCCCCACACCGTTGACGAGACGGGTCATGAGGAGATGCCCAAGAGACACCTCACAGAATCACCTGCTGTCCCTTGTATTCATTTTTCTAGATCTGCCATAACAAAGTACCACAAACTGGCTGGCTTAAACAGTGGAATTTTGCTGTTTCACAAAAATATATTGTCTCACAGTAACAGAGGCCAGAAGTCCAAGATCAAGCTGTCCGCAGGCTGGTTCCTTCTGAGGGCCATGACAAAGACTCTGCTCCAGGCCTCTCTCCTTGGCTTGCAGAAGGTCACCTTCCCCCTGTGTCTCTTCACACTGTCTTTCCTCTGTGTGTGTCTGTGTCCAAATGTCCCCTTTGGATGAGGAACTGGTCATACTGGCATAGGGCCAACCCTAAGAACCTCATTTTAACCCGATTTCCTCTGTAAAGACCCTATCTGTGAATGAGGGCCCATTCAGAGGCAGTGTAGAAATGATTAAAGAATTTATTTGTATTAAAACTTGCCACTAACTGCTGGCATAATAGTAACATACTATCAGTACTTTTTACCTTTTTTTAGTAAAAATACCCAGGTTAAGGTTTTCCAGGTTCGTTGCTGTCATGATCACTTCACATAACTTTACTGTTTATTAATAAAGCTTTCTGAGTAGATTGTGAGCGATTGGAAAAGGCATAGACGTGCATATTCTATACTTTTTATTCCCATGGCATTTATCTGGGACCATAAAATTTTAGAGAAGAACTTTTTTCCCAACACTTTTATTGCGGTAAAATACGCATAACATAAAATCTACCATCGTAACCATTTTTAAGCGTTTGCTCACTGGCATTAACTACATTTACATTGTGGGGCATCCCTCATCACCTCCCATTTTTGGAACTCCATTTTGTCAAACTACAACTCTGTATCCATCAACCTTTCTTCCCTTCTTCCCCAGCCGGAGCCTGGCAAGCCCTGCTTTCTATCTCTGTGGTTACGACTTGCATAAATGGAACCAGGCAATATTTATCTTTTTGGTGACTCCCTTACTTCACATAGCTTGATGTCTCCATGATTAATCCATATTGTAGCATATTGTAGAATTTCCTTCCTGTTTGAAGTTGAATAATATTCTACTTGTGTGTGTGTGCGTATATTGCACTTTGCTTATTCTTTGTCTGTTAATGGACACGTAGGTAGCTTTCACATTTTAACAACTGTGTATAATGCCGCAGTGAGCATCGGTGTACAACGTGTCTCTGTGAGCTCCGTGAGACCCTGCTTTCGTTTCACTTGGGTAGATATCCAGGAGCGGAATTGCTGGATCTTCTGGGAATTCCATTTTTAACTTTTTTGAAGAACCACCATATGGTTTTCACAGTGGCTGTACCACATCCCTCCTAACAGATCACCAGGGTTCCAGTTTCTCTCAGCCTCACCGACACCTGTTCTTTTATGTGTTTTTGATAGGAGCCCCCCAGAAGCAGTATCTCATTGAGTTTTGATTGTATTTCCCTGATGATCAGTGATGAACATCTATTTTTCATGGGCTTACTGTCCAATCATGTTTCTTCTTTGGTACATGTTTATTTAAATCTTTTGCCCATTTTTGAGTTCAGTTGGTTGTTTGTTGCTGGAGCTATATAATTTCACTCTATATGCTGGATAGAAATCTCCTCTAGGTTTCCAACATATCTTTTTGAAGGGGAAGAATTCAACCAGTAACATCTCTCTTCAGATCCACAAGCACCCTTCCCATTTCCCAAAGTGCTGGCCTCACACCCCCCGGACATGATCAAGAACAAAGCCCTATAGAGTCTGTGGAAGTGGCATATTACTCGGGCATATTATAAAAAGTAGGAGGCAGTTTGAAACCCCTGCTTTATAATTTGTTGCATATATATTACATGTATACATTAAATCTAACATGGTTCTCATTATGGGCCGTGGGCCCTATAATTTTCAACAAATCCTCTCTGTCCTTATAAAGTCTACGCAGAAAAAAAAAAAAATCCCTGCAGCCATCCTGCTGCAGACCAAGTTCCAACACCACCCGCTCCCATCTCATACACACGGGCCCACGGGACTGAGATCCTGACGCCCAGACTGCACAAAATCACATGCTCAGAGGAAAGACTTTTCTTCTCCTGCACTTCGGAAGGTACACTAAGCTCTAAGTATATCACCATCGCGGGGCTTTTGGCCTTGTGATTGTCAATCATTTTACCTTTGTTTCTGTTAAACTTGGCCTGACATCTTTGCCTAAAAGATGTGCCAAACACTTTGGACCGTGACTTGGCGTGACTGGGTGTGGCTTGGCCTGCCCATGTCAGGCAGGTGAAGACAGCCAAGCTCAGTTCAAACATGCTCAGGAGATTCGGCCTCTGGAAATCCCCACAGCGCTCCCCCCATTCCAGTCCCTTCCCCACACCCAGAGGGGGGAGCGCAAGGGCTGTTTGTTTTCACGTTTCCCCGCTGCACTTTTGTAATCTGGGATGTTGGGGGGGCAGAAGGGAGGTAGAAATATATATTTATTGGTGTGGGGTTTCCAGTCAGGAAGTAGATAAGATGCCATAGAGGAGTCCAGTGACCGAACGACATGCCCTGAGATTCTGAAGGATGCCGTGTAGAACTGGGTGGTCCCGGCCCCTGAGTGCCCACATCCACCCGTGGTCCGTGAACCTATTTTCCACAGGGCTCTACCTTTGTGATCTTGGTCTCTTGTTGCTTCCCGTCATTTTTGTTTTACAGATTTTTGGACTCCATCCCTGTTTTCCATGTTCTTGGATGCAATCCAATGCTGAGCGACGGTGCACAGCCAGAAGGTCTGTGGCATTAGGCTGCCACTCCAACACAGGGAGCAACAGCTCCAGGCAGCAAATGGGGCCCCTCACCTAGTGCACAGGCTCATGGCCTGAAGGTGCCCTTAGGGGGAGGCCCGTGTGGCCTGGCGGGGGACAGGGGAGGTGGCCTGTTTTCTTTGGCACGACTAGGGAGAAGTGAGGATGTTCCCTCCTGAGCCTCCATCACTGGTCTTCCTGAGGGGTCTCTTCCTTCACACATAAGCTGTGACCCCCCCAAGGACTATTGCTCTCTTTCCCTTCTCCTCGCCTCTCCCATTGCACCTCAGGTTTCCTCTTGGGAAGTTTTAGTTCAAAAACTGCCTTGGGGCGAAGGAAAAATCTGTAATCTACAAGGGTGTAACTTCGTTTTCCCTTGCAAGACCCTGGTCTGTGACACACCCACCGGACATGATGCTGGCCCAAGCTCCCAATGAGTGGTCCCCAGGAGGCTGGGAACGAGGTTCCAGGCACATGAGCGAGCTCTCAAAGTGCACTGTACAACAACAGCACAGCAAGGCTGTGCAGCCAGCAGTACAGCAAGGCTGTGCAGCCAGCATGAGCTGAGTCCCTTCTGTGTTTCAGGTGTTGTCCCACTGAACCCTCACCACAACCCTGTGGGGTAAGTACTGCTACTGTCCCCGTTTTTCCAGTCCAAGATCACACAGCGAAGACAAGGAAGAGCCAGGGTTTCCGCCCGAGCCGCCCAGCTCTGGAGCTCACACGATTAATCGCTGCTCTCTATGAACAAAAACGTGTTCTTCTTACTGCGGTCTTCATTCTACAAATGAGGAGACTGAGGGACAGAGCACAGAGGTGAGCGCCTCGTCCATCCCACGCTGCCAGGGAGACCCCGAGCTGGGAAAGGCACCCCCACCCCGACCCCTCACCACACACGCTGCGGTTGCCCGTGGTGGGGTGCAGAGGCTAAGGAGTCCGTGGCGGAGTCAGGATGTGCGTGTGTCCCACTCACTCTTCTCCACCCCAGGTTTCTACCTTCCTCCTCGGGCTTCGCGTTCTCGTTTCGGGTGACAGGAAGTGACTAGAAAAAGAGCCAGATAGTGAGACAGCAGGTGAGGAAATCAGAAACCTGCACCTGCCAATCTAGGAATCAGTCCAACACGCCTTATGGAACTGACACCTGGCCGCCCAGGTAAAGTGTCCAGATGCCCCGGGCAAAGGGAGGGGAACATTAGAGGAAGTTAAAGTTCCAGAAAGGTGTACACAGAGTGGGAGAGAAAATAAAAACAGCTAAGATATGATAGAAACAGGTTGGAATCAGATACCCTCTCAGCTGGAAAGAGCCACAAGGATGAATTTGTCCAAACCTCTTATGAATAAGGAGACCTGACATTGGCCGGGCACCTGCTCCATGCCAGGAACTTGGGCCAAGTGCTTTCCCCGTGTCGGCCACAGCCCTGTGAGGCAGTGCTATTTGCGTCTTCATGGGGAACCCAAATCAAAGATCCACTGGCCCCGTAACAGGTAGATTCAGGCAGACTCCTTCTCTCCAGAGCCCATATTCTTTGGTGCCCTTCACCTTTACATGACGGACCATTGCAAACACACACAGAACTAGAGAGAATACCATAATGAACCCCCAGATGTCTACTGACCAGTTGCAAAAATTGTCAACACAAGATAGATCTTGTTTCATCATCTGTCCCCCACCAACTGTCCTACTGTCAGAATAATTTGAAGTAAATCATTTATTACATATGATCATAACAATAATAATATCCATAATGTTATATAATACACAAAATATATATAATTATAATTACTTTGATATTTTATTACATAATAATGTAATACATATAATTACAATTATTTCTGTATTATAGTATCTTGTTATTATCTGTACACACTTTAATATGTTTCTCTAAGAAAAAAAGGACTGTCATTATATAGCTGTGATACCAGCATCACCTCTAAAGAAAATGACAATTCCTTACTATTGTTAAATGTCCAAACACAATTCAAATACCTCAGATTGTCCCATAGATGTATTTTTATGGTTGGTTTCTTTGAATAGGAATCAAAATCCATCTACATATTGCATTTGGTTGATAAGTCTCTTAAATCTCTAATAGATAAGGTCCCTTCTCCCCCACCAATCATTTGTTGAAGAAATGGAGTCCTTTGCCCTGTAAAATTTCTCACATTGTGGATGCTGCAGATTATATCCTTGTGGTGTCATTGAACATGTTCCTCCCCCTGTATGTCCTATAAACTGGTCATTAGAGCCAGTGGTATGATTAGGTTCATGTTGAATTATTTGGCAAAGGTACTTCACAGGCAATATGTGATCAAGGCCCCTATGCTCAAGATGACTTTTTTTTTTCCCCAGAAGATGAAGCTTCTAGCCCAAGCTCAAAAAACAGATGAAGGACAGAAGCAGAACTGGAACTCAGTCTCATGAGTCCAGTGGCCCTGCTCTTCTGAAACTCCAACACAGGACTGGAATCTAGATTTTTTCTCCTTGCAGTGGAAGGACAGTTTGACTGTTATTAAATCTTCTACCTCTTCTACCTCCTTCTCTGAGAGAAGCCAACCGAGCAGCCGTGGGGAAGCCCAAGCCTTTCTTTCTTTGGCATACGGCAGTGTTTCAACTTCAAGCAGATGGTGGGAGGGAGGGGTCTCCCCAAACCTGGGTGGGGCTCTGCACCTTCTGCTTTAGCCAGAGGGCTGCAAGCACTTAAGCCAAAATTCTGGCACAGAACATCATTCTTATTCCCTATCTCTCCTCTCAAATCCTGAGAATCAGTTTCCCTGAGTGAGTGCTGGCAAGAACCTGTCATCCCTGTGACTTACTCATCTGAACTGGGGGGAAAGAGCTGTGTGCGCACCAGCAGCGCTGGGTGCCCAGGGAGACACGCAGGACTCGGCCTGGGGAAACATGAAAGGCATCGCTCAGGAAGGTGCAACCACCCTGGGTGCTTCAGAGGTGGGTGTTGTTTTGCTTTTGTTTGTGTCTGTCCCCATTCCTGCTACACGGAGCCTGCAAATATCAGAACCAAGATTGTATAACACAGATAAGCAAAATTATTTCCATCACAAGAGGGGAAAACCCACCACAGACCAAAGACTGGGCCAGAGGACACGGGGAGGGGGAGGAGAGATGGTTCAAATGCACAATAACAGTGCAAGTCCACATTCACTGAACACAAAAGTGTACCAGGCACAGTCCCTGCAGCATGTCATTTGATCCTCACAGCAGAGCCCCACAAGGTAGAAGGCAGGTGCTGTTATGTGAATCTGCCGCCGAAAAGGAATGTAAGATCACACAGACAGCACCAGTGAAGGCTGAATTCAAATGCACGTTATTTCTCTGTTAGTGTGTATGGCTTAACCATGAGGCTAGAAGGTCAGCTAAATGAAGAGAGGCATGTGAGAGCAATAACAATTTGGAAAGGAGTTTTAGCGGGGTGTAGGAGTGGCTCAGGTAATGCACATTAGGGCCCCCCAGCCTTTGGGGACCAGTCATCTTCCATTTTAGCAAGGTCTCCAAAATCCATTAAGCACATTTCACAGGTGAAGAGATGGAAAGATTCCACAAAAAGTTCACTGTGGAGAAGCAACAGTTAAGCACTCTCCTGCTCCCCCTCTGTCAAGTTTAAGGTTCCTAAGTGGGAAGAATTATCAGGGTCACATCTGGCACCACAAAGCCTTAGTGTGAATTCGAAAGTGACACCTCTTGTGGGTGGATAAATTGTAAAACCATGCCCCTCTGGGAGGCCCCTCATGCAAGGGTGACATCTCAAATAGGGCCTGCTGCCTGGGCTGGGGGGTGGGTCAGATTTCAGCCCCCTTCCTGCCAAGCAAGACAGCAGCAACAGGCCCTGTGGGAGGCAAGCTTGTTTCCCCACCCAGCATGCTTTGCACCTGTCAAGCCCGGGTCACTCTTGCTGAGCTATTACCATCTTTTGGTGGTTGTTCCACACGACTGTGGTCTTAATGTCAGCTCAGAAGAGGGCACAACCCCATTACTAGATTACTCAAAGTGCTGGTTTTCGCCTTCTTTTTTTTCACCACATCCAAGGACATGGCACCCAAATCTTCCCCAACCTCACTGGTTTGACTCAAGAAGCCAGGCTGGCCTCAGTATGCACGGGCAGTCCAGAGATCGTAATTGTATTATTTTGTCTCTTTTCAATAGAACAAATCACCTAAAATGGTTCGTTTATTTTGTCCTTGGGTTCTGTAGAAGGACATGAAAAGTAATTGGAATTTTATAAACTTTTTTTAAGCCTGGCTAAAAACTCAAGGTAAATATGAACCATTTAGTATAAACAATTGGGAAATAAATTTGGTCATAACTTAGATATAGCTGTTTCCACTTCTGGAAATTTATGGTAAAGAAATGCACAAAAAGGCCTGCAAAACTTCTATTCACAAAGATATTCACTGTTGTATTATTTATAATGGGGAAAATGAAAATCAGCTCCTTTTTATGGAAAAACACGTAAGTTGGGTGAATTATGGTATATATCACCAAATAGTTTCACACAGTTTTTAGAACTTGTGTTTAATAGATGATGTGAAATGTCTACGATGTTATGTTATGGGGAAAATATCAGGAAACATATGAATTAGAGTATGATTCCAACTCTAAGACATGCTTTAAAAATTCAGAAAGATGATATACTAAAAGCCATCTTATTGTACCTAATGATAAAAAACTAACATTTATTGAGTTTTCACTATGTGCTAGGTACCATTCCAAGTCATTTACATATATCAACTCAGTTTATCCTTGTAGCAAGACCTTGAGGTTAAATACAATTATTATAATTCCCATTTTGCAAATGAAGGAACTGAGGTGGACCAAAGTTGCCCAAGCCACCTAGCAAATTAGGGAGAAGTTAGAGGCCCTAACAATCACGCCTCCTCCCTGTCGATCAGCTAATTGAAAACCAGAAAAAGGAGCATAGAGAATCGCTAAAAATGTCACCTACAACAGAGGGAGCCTGGACCACCTTGTCATAACAGAGGGCAGGGAAACTATCAAAGACTAGACGAGTCATGTCAAAACAACTTAAGAGCTAAATGGAAGATGGGCCTCTGGGCAAAACAAACAATCAAATCTGAGAATCAGTAACTGCAATGGATTGAAACACATCAAGATTTTTAAACCTATGGGTTTAAAATTACTTGTGGAAAAAAAAAACCCTCATTGGTCACCTTTAGAGGAGCTAGAAAATAACTCATTATGTAGAAAAGTGATAAAGAGAGGGATAAAATCAAGCATTTATCCCACCTTTACTGCATGGAACTCAGGGTAACTCATTGATGAGAGTGAATTCCTTTCTATGGAAACCTTTCAGATGATAAATAAGGCCGAATGATAGAATAGCACCATTTTTTCACTTCTGATAATATAATGTGTTAGGCAATTACATTACATTACAGGAAAAGACATAGACAGTATGTGCTTCCTGATGGAATCATCACATCACCATCGATGAAGCACTGAAGCAAAAAAACAAAACAAAACCCTGAATTTAGATGGATTTCCAATTTTTAAGGCATTGCAGAAGACAGAGGAAGATTTCAAATCACACCATGGGGAGTGAAATCAGCAAAATCCAGACCGTGGGAGACTTTGCAGGGCACAGGACCTGATTTCTTCTACACACAAATTACAAGGAGAAAAGGGGAGAGGGGACTTATAGATTTAAGAAGACTGATTGCAGTGATCTTATTTGGTGAGAAATGTCTCGGAATATGTTTTGAAATAATCAAGGAAATTTAAATACTGCCTGGATATTTGATTAAGTTAGGGGATTACTGTTCATTTTTTTAGGTGTGGTCATGGTATTACAGTTATATATTTTAAAAAATGTTCTTGTCTTTTAGAGATGCATTCTGAAATATTTACGGTTGCAAATGCATGATTTCTAGGATTCACTTTAATATATTCCAAGAACAGTTGGGAAGTGAATGGGGGCGAGATGCTGTAAAGATTGGTCGTGAATCATTATTGTTGAAGCTGAGTGATGGTACATGGGGGCTCATCGTACTCTTCTTCCTACTTTTGTTCAGGCTCTAATATATCTATAATAAAGCATTTTAATGGTACAAACGTATCCTACTTTTGTTCTTACTTAAACCATTTAAACCTTTGCTATAGAATTGAGGGCCAGTGTGAAGTAATGACTGAAGACATGGACCAACCAACCAGACTGCCCACCTTCAAATGGCAGCTCTACGGTGTGCAGGCGGGCTAACCTAGAATAAGGGACCTCCTGCCATTCTATCTGAGTTTCCTCATTTGAGAAATGCAGATAACAATACCCTACTTACTGCTTTATTGAGTTATGATGACACTAAAGTGAGTAAAATTTCTCCAGTATCTGGAACAGTGCATAGAAGCTATATTAAATGGTATATAAATGAACTGTTTTTATTTTTATTTATCTTTTGTTCTCAGGCATAAGTCTCTTTATAAAAACATCTCCACTCATTTTGCATTTATATCTATGATTCTGACTCAGATGCCACTTCTGAGTACCAACTCCAGTTCTGACACCAACTAATGACTCTGATACCGATTCCAGCATGTGGGTTTTCTCCCCACACAGCCAAGTAACTAATTCTCCAACACCAGCTGGGTGTCCTACCATTCAATACAAGTCTGACACTATCTACCTGGAGAGAGTGTCAGATCTCCCAGATTAAGGGCTCAGCCCTCCAAGACACCAGTCCCAAGGTCCAGTTGTCACCTGTCCTTGTGACCCACCACCTACAGGTTGGAGATTCCAACAACCCCATCCTCAGTTTCAATTTGCTTTAGAGCAGCTCATACAACTCAGAAAAACATTTTACTTACTAGATCACCAGTTTGTTACAAAAGGATGTAACTCAGGAACAGCTGGATAGAAGAGATGCACGGGGCAAGGTATGAGGGAAGTGTCCAGTGCTTTTGTGCCTTCTTCAAGCCACTGCTTTTCCCAAACCTCCACTCGTTCATCAGTTTGGAGGCTCTCCAAAGCCCTCCTTTTGAGTTTTTATGGGGTCTTCATTAAGTGGGCGTGATAGATTAAATCATTAGCCATGGATGACGGAACTCAATGTCCACCTCCTTTCCCCTCCCCAGAGGTCTGGGGGTGGGACTGGAAGTTCCAACCCTCTAATCACAGGGCCGATTCTCCCAATCGGGCCCCTTCCTTAGGTGACTTAGGGACTTCCCCAAAGTCACCTCATTAACAACAAAAAAGAATCACCTTTATCACTAGGGAAATTCCAAGGGTTTCAGGAGTTCCCTGCCAGAAACTAGGATAAAGACCACAGGCACATTTCTAGGGCACGTTCAGGGTCCCAGCACCCAGACACTCAGTCTCCCACCCCTAATGCATCAGCTACAATTTTCAATTTCTCTAAAGTGGTGTGAGAACTTAAAAACACTTTTGAAGAAACCTGAGGGCAAATCCTGCTAGATTTTAGTGATTTACTTTCAGTCTTTTCTAGTTGCTTTTTGTATCTAAGCTAAGTGTTTTTTTATGTGTGTGTATGCATGTTTCATTGTTGTGGTGGTGTTTTTTTGGTGTGGCTCATCTTTATCAAATCTTTTCAGAACAACTCAATTTTCTTAAGAATGTTCCTTCTGAATTATATTTTCATCCATTTATGTAATCACATCACAAATTTTCCATTGTCACCTTTTAAAACATGGTTGGGAACAAACAAAACGACTGTAGGTGAGCAGATAACACAACTGGTGGAAGAAAAGCCCAAATGCAGCCTGAGAATGCCAGCGGCAGGTGTTAAGCACCAGACATACGCTTCACAGAGAAAGTGGAGACTGCAAAGATTATTCCGGTGGGTTCTGTAAGCAGAGATCACTTAGAGAACCTATTGTACATAAGCCACTGATACTTGTGTTTGCGTAGCACAGTCTTCCTTTATTCCATTTTATTTTAATAATCAACATATTATCACTCCTGTCCACCAAAGAAAAAGTCAACACTTCATGCATTTAAAACAACTCTTTTTTTTCTTTTTAGTGAACCGTCCACGGAAGACTGGAAGCAAACACAAAGAGAATGTGCAATGAATATTGCATGCGATCCACGGATTGCTGGATCCCACGGAACACTCAGGTCTGAACGTCAGGAGTCACTTGCTGCAAAGACAGCGCATACTGAGTGCTGCTGTCACATGGCATGATTTCCTAAATGCCACAGCAATCCGACTTCACACTAAGAAGGTTCACACACTCTAATATTCAGATTCTAGTTTCATTTTGACTATAAAGTTACAAAGAAACCAAATGATCAAATCTGCATTTCCTTCTAAATCTATATGCAAATAGGGAGGCAGGGACTCCCCCCTTGCCCTCGGCATTCCCTAGCAGAAAGGATTCTGGACTACCTCAAGCTCCGAAATGTGAACTGCCTTCCTGCCAATCCAGTCTCACTGAACTGCCCCCTTCCTGTGTTTGGCCAAGTTTCACAGATCTCACTATAAGTTCGCTCCTCTGCGATATCATTGTGACTTTGCTTTCTGATCAACTGTGAATTCTCACAGTCCTCTTTGAACTGGAGAGAGGAAGTGAGAGAGGTGTGTAGCTACTGTTGCATTCGTTTTCATCACTGGACGGATGGGGAAGCCAAAGTCACAATCAGATCTGTTTTTAACACCCTGGGGCATTCCACATCTCTCCTCTGACTCAGAGATTTCCTCCCAGGGGTGCTGCATGGGGTGTGTTGGTAAGAGCACTTTTGAAGTAAGGTCATCTCACTGCAGAGACAACTTTAGGAGAGTTCAGGGGAGTTTGTTTATTTTTTTTAAGTTTTTATTTATTTTATTTTTAAGGAATGGAAGGAGGGAGAGAAGCATCAATGTGTGGTTGCCACCGGAGCACCCCCTACTGGGGGCCTGGCCCACAACTCAGGCATGTTCTCTGATTGGGAATTGAACCAGTGATCCTTTGGTTCACAGGCTTGTGCTCAATCCACTGAGCAACACCAGACAGGGCAGGGGAGTTTAAACATAATGTGCAAGATGTTTCTATTTGCAGATAGAAACATCAGGATCAGGACCCCCTCCTGTCCTGTCCCTGAGAGCTCCTGTCCCATCACCACAAGCTTCTGGAAATCTAAGCCTGGAGTCCTCTCAGAAGACAGAGACAAATTGTATGGACAAAAGTGAAAATATCTGGTCCCTACACTAATGAAATATTATGTCACTCTAGATGATATATTCGCATTTCATTAGGAGAATGAGTTTCCTAGTTCTAGCAACGTTCCACACGACAGCAGTCAAACAGAAAATGAAACCCGCAGCAGCTTCCTCTGAAGAGACCGCCTCAGTCTCGCATCCCACAACCTGCTCCATCCCATTCCCAAGTTCTGGTCTTCGTCAGTGGGTCACTCTTCCATAAACCGAAACCCTGCTGGTGTTATTCAGAGCAACTCCAAACCACAAATATTTACCTAGCATTGGACTCATTTGCTCACTTAATGATTGTTTAGGGATCACCAATAATGTATGCAAAATGCATGAGAGTGAGGCTTAGAAAAGAAAGATTGCCATAGTGGCGATGATGTAATCCAATAGTTCTGAAAATAACTTGTTATTCTTCTTCACCGTGCATGATGCCAAGTAGGTACTTGAAATACCAGGGGCATCACTTTGTAAAGTACATTATTCTCTAACCACTCTGCTGTACACCTGAAACTGAAACAAAATAATACTAAATGAAAACTGTAATTTAAAAATAAAATTAGAAATATATATACATATATACATATACACATGTATGTATATATATAAATTAGGATATATCCTACCCATACTTAATGGTTTAAAAATGTACCTCCACAATTATATTCTTTTTTTAATTTTTAAAATATTTTATTTATTATGTTATTACAGTCATCCCAGTTTTTCCCTCTTTGCCCCCCTCTACACAGCAATCCCCTCTCCCTCAGGCATTCCCCCCCCCCAATTGTTCATGTCCATGGATTGTGCATATAAGTTCTTTGGCTGCCCCATTTCCCATACTGAATTTATATTCCCATGGCTATTCTGTAACTACCTATTTGCACTTCTTAATCCCCTCACCTTTTCACCCATTCCCAGACACCCCTTCCCATCTGGCAACCATCAAAACACTCTGTTTCTGTTCTTGTTTTCTTACTTTGTTTTTTAGAGTCAATTGTTGACGGATATGTATTTTTGCCATTTGATTGTTCATAGTTTTGATCGTCTTCTTTTTCTTAAATAAGTCCCTTTATTATTTCATATAATAAAGGTTTGGTGATGATGAACTCCTTTAGTTTTTTCTTGTCTGGAAAGCTCTTTTTATCTGCCCTTCAATTCTCAATGACAGCTTTGCTGGGTAGAAGAATCTTGGCTGTAGAATCTTGTGTTTCATGACTTTGAATATTTCTTTCCAGTCCCTGCTAGCCTGCAAAATTTCTTTTGAGAAAGCAGCTGACGGTCTCATTCCCCTGTATGTAACTAACTGCTTTTCTTTTGCTGCCTTTAAGAATTCCTCTTTATCATTAACTTCTGGCATTTTAATTACAATGTGTCTTGGAATGGACCTCTTTGCCTCCATTTTGTTTGGGATTCTCTGTGCTTCCTGGACTTGCATGTCTGTTTCTTTCACCAAGTTAGGGAAGTTTTATTTTCTTTCATTTATTTTTTGAGCACAAGAGTATCGTGATTAGAATTCTGTTTTAACAGGATCAGTTTTTGTTGTGCTGAGAAAAGACTAAGTGGGGACAAGAGACTAGGAGTCCCATGAATTAGCCCATGACAATAATAAGGGAACGAGATTACAGAGGTCTGGACCAGGAAGGTGATGGAAGTTGTGAGGTTGGCTGGTTATATATGTCAAAGGAAGAGCTAATGGGATCTGCTGATGCATTCAGTATGGAGTATGAGAAAAGAAGAGCAGTCAGTTGGCTTGAGCAAAGAGAATAATAAAGTTACCTTTTACTAAGATGGAAAAAAACAGATTGGGAGGAAGGTTGTAAACTAAGAGTTGTGTATTGGACAAATTCAGTTTGAGGCATCTATTACACATACCAGTGGAAATGTTGACTGGGCCATTGGATACACAAGTCTGGAATTTGGGGGAGTTAGTATAGCTAAAGTTGAGGTCCAAAGATGAAAACCTAATCACCCACTGCTAAGAAGTTGATCAAAAGAGGAAGAAAAAGCAAAGGTGACTCACTAACAGATGGTACAACCAGGGAGGTAAGAGGAAGGCTGACCTAACATAATATTCTGGAAGCAAAATGAAGGAAGGATTCAGTTTTGTCAGGTGCTCCACTGATACGTCAGGTAAGATGAAGACTGAGAGTTGACCACTCTTCTTACTCCCCAAACTGGAGCTTAAATAAACAATTTTAGGTGGTATAGTGGTTTTTGCATTACCATGTGTATGAATAATTTTTATATTTAATTTAAATTCTATGTAGGCTTAAAAATAAATGTAACTATATACATCCATACTGAGGCATACATACAGTTATTTATAAATACTTCCTCAGCCTTATTATAAGCTAAAGTGATCTTTCTTAACAGTAAATCCTAGCCCATCCCACTAGCACCTAACCCTAAGCAAACTGTGCAAATTATAACATCCTTCAAAAGAATAAAACAATCAACTTGTGTGTACCATCAGGAAATAAATCAACAGAGTATCACCTGTAGATAACCAGACTAAGGATGTGAACTAGAAAGTTAAAGGCATCTTTTTTCTGAACTATCTGGAAGAAATGTTATAGGACAAATATTAACCTGGCTTAGTGTAGCCCTTCACTTAGAAAGTGAACTGTATGACTTATTTGACTTATAATGTGTGAGGTACTAATTCACAAGATCAGGTTTAAAAAATAACATTCAAAACTGAGATAGCTGTAGGAGTTTTGTCTTTCAAGATAAAAATCATATACTGATTTCAGTAGAGCAAATATTTAACAACTGGTATAGCAAAGGTACCAACCAATCAAAGGAGACACTCAACCAACAAAAATGGCTGTCCAATCCATT